CGTGTACTATCATTTTTCCTAGTTCATCCCTATCCCTCTCATAGTTGTATGTAAAGCCGTATGGATGGAATTGGGAAATTTTGGGCTGGGTTGGATCACTAGCTGGTTTTGCACAAGCTTTCATGTGTCTAGATAAGTGTCCCGTCCCGTTTTTGGTAACTGCCGTGAATACACTATTACATGTTTTACATTTTGCCCATTGTTCACCATCTTTACTTAGGACAAAATAACGCCATACCTCACTCCTTCGGTTTTTCAAAAGTAGCATCTCAGTTTCGGTTAACCATTCATGATGTGTGTGATGGTTAGTAGGGGGACTAGTGGGAGTGGCAGTAGAAGGGGTAGAACCGGAGGGAATTCGGGTACTTTCTTGGCTACCTTGGCTAGAACAATAGTTTTGTTGATTACCGATATAATTAGGTGGAAATTGGTATGGTGGTAGTGGAAATTGGTTTAGTGGTGGTGCTGGAAATCCCGACGTATTATATGGCTCATAGCTCGGGGGGAAGTAAATGGGGTCATTGGTTTGACTCGTAATTTGGGGGCTCGTTGTATTTGGTGGTTCCCTAGAACTACTACTACGGATAAGTCGGCCTTTCCCCCTAGACCTAGATGATGGGTTGTTCGATGCCATAATTAACAATTAATTTTTTAATAAAAAGTGGTTAACTATAATAATAATAATTAATAACAACAATTTTAACAATAAAAATATCAATAATAATAATTAATAACAACAACTATAACAATAACAATAACAACAAAAATAAATAATAACAACAATTGTAACAATAATAATAATTAATAACAACAATTATAACAACAACAATAACAATTAACAACAATAATAATTAAACAAGATTATTCTAATAATAACAATAAAACAATAATAAATTTAAGATTAGTTTAGATCTTACAACCGTGCTTCAACGCTCCACTAATTACGATTACGAACTTTTTAATTTTTTCCGATATTAGGAAAATAATTAGAGAATTTAAGAGAATAATTAGAGAATTTAAGAAAATAAGGATTATTAGAGATTTAGAGAATATAAGAGATAAGAAGAAGAGATTGTGATTTTGTGATTTGGGAATGAAATGGAGGTGAGTATTTATAGAATTTTTGGCAAAAAACTAGCCGTTTATAGCCGTTTTATAGCCGTTGGCCTGCGGGCCGTGCCTGCGGGCCATGCCCGTGCTCGTGCCGGGCCGTGCCTGGGAATTCTCCACCGTGTCCGTGGCACGGCCCGTGGCACGGAAGTCGAACTTCGTGCCGTGCCGTGCTTGACTTCTGGCCGTGCCGGGCTGCTCCGAACGGCGGGCCGTGCCGGGCGGCACGCGGGCCAACCCGGCCCGTGCCCAGGTTTACTTATAATTACAAATACTAATGGCCAAAGTTGTGTATATATTGACACATGAGCCAGTCTAACTATAGCGATTATTATGAAACGTAGGGATTAAAAAAAAACCCTGATATTATGAAACTTTGTTTAAACAAACCTAATACAATTACACATAAGACATAACCATGCTTTATATATTATATGTTAATGAGAATTCACGATCAAAGTTGATGAACTTTGACTCTAAAAAAGGAAATGAGTAAACATAAAGATCGATTTGAAGGGTGTACGACATTATCTATGTACTAAAAGTTATAAAAAAAAAACACATCTAAAACATAATCTGAAGTAAACATACTTTTTTGTACATCCGAGTATGGGTTCGAGTTTGGAGGAGGCCGGAGGAGCCAAGAGGACGCGAAAGGGGAAGGGAGAACATGCACATAGTAAGCAAGAAACAATGGAGTAAAGTATAAGTCGTATCAAGACGGAGTTTAGTGTGGGCGAATTTGGGCATTTAGTTGGGCAATGACAGCAACACCCACGTTGTAGGCTTGTCCTGTTGCTAAACAAGTCCATCTGTGTTGCTTCCCTTCTCTCTCCTTTCAAACCCCTTCTAATAATTTTATCAATTGCACCGTCATATAGTACCATTGTAGTAAGTACCATGCATTAAGCATGAACTACTCTACTTGTCTCAATTTCTTAGCTTTTTTTTTTTTTTTTTTTTTTAATTTGCACACGTATGATTGAGTTTCATTAATTATTTTTAATATATTTTGAGCAAATCGATATATAAATTATTTTTATATGAATAAATTTTAAAAATATTGTGTAAATTTGTTGTTATTAAGTTATTAACCTATATATTAATGATGTTGTAAGAAAACAAACATTTTTGTAAGAAGTACTTTGTATGTTATAAAACAAATATTAATTTTTCTATTTTTTTTTGAGCAGTTTTTCTATCAATTGCAATACTAATCTAATATCATTTATTATATCACAACACATTTATCTTATTTTTAATTGAATTTATAGATTTAATTAAACCTGATTAACCCTGATTTCTCCTTATAATAATACTTGATGAGCTTTAGTTGAACATAATTAACTTTGAAATCTATTTTTCTTAGATGAACACAATGCACACATAGAGTTTATGGCAATATTACGTGGTTGATTCAGTTAAATGTATAAGACACTGTTCTTTTGAACTATTTTGCTTTGCACTACTAAAATCTGCTCAGCTGGCTCAAAATCTCAAAAAAAAAAAAAAAAAAAAAAAAAAAAAAAAAAAGACCTAACTCCTAAATATTTCCCCCTTACATTTAATAGTACGTACAATTTTTCTTATATTGTATGCAAATCAAAGAGCATAACTTTACATTGATCTCACCATTATCAAGTACGAGTAAACATTAATCGAGCAAATCTATGCCCGTCACTCCCTCCTAGAAAGAATAGAAAATATTGGATCTCTATAGTTTTAATGTTCAATCAAAATTATTATAACATATTCTTTTTAGTTATTTAATTTTAGTGAAAATTACAAAGTAACGGTTACCTTTAATTGTAGGAAAACCCTTATTTGATTTATTAATAAAGTAATTAGAATAATGACATCAAGTAAACTTAATATAGTTATGTAAATTCAAGTTGTCCAAAAAAGTGTCAGGATAAGAAAGAAAGGGGAGGATTCGGAAGATTATGCTTTTGTTTGGCTTTTGCCTTTTCACTAATTGTTTTTCTTTTGAGAATCTTTTTAAATTAAACCCCTTTGCTCTTTTCCACATGATGACAAACACCAAATTGAGTATTCATAATTCTTACTTGAATTTGGTTCACGAGATGGAATTATTGTAACAATCATCATGATCGTGAAACTTAATTGAGCAATTGTTGGACATTATGATAATGTCGATTTATGTGCTCTTTCCTCTTAATTTCCCTCAGTTTACAATCTCGTACTCACATTCACAATATCTGTGTTCTGAAAAAATGTCATATAACATCACAGTCAAATTAATGATGTTGAGGTTGTGGAATAGTGACATTACACCACACCTTAGAATCATATATCGTTGTAGCTCAAGTTCAACTAAAAGAGCTATTCATGAACTAAGCTCGAGGATTAAAATTTCCAAACGAGCGAGCTAAGCTCAAACCAACAAAATTAAAGCTCAATTGCGCTTGTCTAAGCTCAAGTTCATGGTTTTTTTTTTTTTTTTTTTTTTCCAAACCCAGCTCAAATAGCCTAATACCTGACTTGTTGAATTGATACCCCTAATTAGAGACTACCTTAATTTAAAGAACTTTGTTAGTCAATGTATATTTTCTTTAATTATTTATTTTCTTTGAAAAAATGTTTTTATTTTCCACTCTCAATCCCTCTCAAACTTGAGCGTGAATAATTGAATTACCTATGCATGTCTTTAGCTTATTGTTGACTCAATACTTGTATTAAACACCTTACACCTACATGCATGTTTTTAGCTTATTGTTGACTTTAACCGTAATTAATTCTCTATAAATTCTTTACTATTGGTAAAATCAATACATCTAAAAGCTAGATGACAATTAGTGCAAAAACAAAAGTGATTATCTGGCTAAATAGTGACGTTAATCAATCTACATGTGTGATTATACTTGAAAAAACATTCTAGGTTCAATCAATGTCCATAATAATCTTTATACTATAATGTTCATATTGTGCCAACAATGATCCGTTCAAAAAAAAAAAAAAAAAAAAAAATATTGTGCCAACAATGATGAATAAAAAAGTTCCCACATAATAAAATAAAATTTCAATCATGATTTTTGAATTAATAATTGATTTAATTGAATCTCAAGCTTTTTGTAATTCTCTAAGGGTCCAATAATGTAATCCTCATTTTCTTGCACAACTTAGACACTTAAACACTTTGCATGATAATCACTATCATCAAATAAATTATGATTAAGTTTTGCCACAATTGGTTGGGCAGTCCACAATTAATTAATACAAATAGAATAATTTTGTCACAATCACCCAAATCAAAGGTCATTAAATTAAGACCCTATCACATGAAAGTTGAAGTTGGTATGGACTTTACTTGTATTACAATTGTCCAGTTGTATGAGAACTGGATTCATGGGCAACAACCAGAAATTAAGGAAAGAATTAAACAAACATAAGTTAATTTGTAGAGTTGCTCGACTCTACTCGTTTATTCCTTCAAAATTTTCCATTTCTTAATACTTATAACACAACCGTGATTAGAAAACTCATATATGACTAACCCACGAGGTCATGACATATTAATCAGCGAACTAAAAAGACTCCTAAACTATAAGTAGAAGCTTTCTAGTCAAATATGTTAATGTTGCGAGTATTAAACAACCAGAAAAAATAATAATCCAAACTTCGGATTAGTATTAGAAGAGCCCACCTAAAATTCTTTCATACCAAAATAGTACAAAACAGAAAATAAATACGAGTAGCAGGCAGAAGGGTCAAGATTTTGCCAGATAAAGTCCAATAAATCAATAATAGAGTTTAATTAAACCCTTTTGTCAAAGGGTATAAAAGTCATTTCACCCATATAATGATATAATACAACCAACACGGCGTCGTTTATGTAGGAGTGGCTACCTTTATTGGTTTCTGGGTGTAAAAATTGCTCAAAATATTCAAAGCATAAAGTTAGAATTTTTTTTTGTAAATTTGCAAAAATTTATTAAAAAGGCAACCTAACTCTGAATTATTGATTTCTAGAAAGAAAAAGAAAAAGAAAAAGAAAAATAGAGTGTTAAGTAGCATAACACAAGAGTTTTTTAGGAGAGAGAAAGTAGAGAGAGAAAACTGAAGTGATAGAGCTTCAGACATTGTTATCCTGCAACTCATATTTTTTTTTCTGGGTAAAGAAGAACAGCTTAATTTGGTGAAAATTTTAGGTTGGGTACTAAAAACTTTGTTGACATTTTATTTTTTTCATCAAAAAAATTTAATACCCACTTGATTTATTAGGGTCTTAAAGTTAGTAAAAAGTTAATTTGGCTTTTTATTTCGTACTACTACATTTTTTGCATAAATTTTTTGGTTTTATTTTTATTTTTATAAATTTCCCACTATTTCTGGGTCACATTATTTGATTTTTAGTGCCTTTTTACAGTCTTTTTAGGTGGGTGATAGCAATCAATTATAATGTTATTGTTATATACATGTGGGTGTGTTCCCTTAAGTAAAGTCGGTGTTATAAATTTTCTGGGTACTGAAAATTTCTGATTTTCTGGGTGTTAGATTTTCTGCATATAATTGTTGTGAATACTGTTTAAATGGGTTTCTGAAAAAGGAAATATTTGGATCTGGTTTTTGTTTAGATTTCACTATTTTTTGCTGATGTTTTGTTGGTATTTGTTGTGTTTCTTAGTGAATATTAGTGAAGAGTAGTAAAGAAAATGGCAGGAGGTGCAGCACCAGCTAAGGCGGATGAGCCAGCGCCACATCCACCAAAGGATCAGCTCCCTAATGTTTCTTACTGTATTACAAGTCCTCCTCCTTGGCGTGAGTCTCTCCTCTCTTATTTCGATTTCGAGGTTGCGTTTTTGTTAATTAGAAAAGATTCCGAATAGGAAGAACAAAAAGGAACGGAGGGAGTAGTAGTTACTCGTATTTAAATTTATTTAGTTATATGTGGTAAGTGATACTGTGAAGTGGTTTATGGTAGTGATATTGGATTGATATGTCTATTTTTGTGATGGATTATTGAATTTTATTTCCTTTTTTTTGCTTACAGTTTTGGTGCTATGTTAGATACTTTTATTTATTTTTGGTGGGTTAGCCTGTTTATTTTTAATTATCTATATGATTATTAAAGAATTAAGATTTATGGTTTCTTTTGATCTTAATTATTTAGAACATGTTGGTGGAGAGTCTAAATTGTGGTTGTTATGTAGGAAGAATTTTTTACATTATTGACATATTATGTGGTTTGTTGTATTAGTGTTTAGGATCACTTGTGGAGTTGTGGGGTTTATCCTAACCTATGCCTTATCGCCTCTAGTTGGTTGATGACTTACTGAGTGAGACAGGAATATTAAGGTCCTCATGGGTGTATCGTTGTCTTTGAAGGATTTCTCCTTTTTTCTTTTTAAAATCACATCCAAGCTCGGAGTATGGTACTCATTGCAAACATGAGAATTCTTGATTATAGTTTTTATGTTTTAGAGGGAGAGTTTTATCAATCATTTCACCTTTCCGCACAAATGTATATTTGGTCCTTGGAGCGAGTTGTTTCATCCACCCGTGATCTTATTGCTTTTTTCAGGGCTTGTTCTACTGGATTTTTGTGACCTTACCTTGCATGCCAGTTTAAAAGAATTCTATTGTTGGTCAACTAATGAAATTTCTATTATTTTGCAGCTGAGGCGATTCTTCTTGGTTTCCAGCACTACATTGTGATGCTTGGCACAACTGTTCTCATCCCTAGTGCTCTTGTTCCTCAAATGGGAGGAGGAAAGGTAGGTCATGGTTCACAAGGATGAATTTAATAATATCAATGAAATGAGGTTCCTGATAAAACTTCCTTTTTGACTGCTGACAGCATTGTCTAACCATTCTTTACACTTGCGTGTTCAATAGGAAGAGAAAGCAGAAGTTATTCAGACATTGCTATTTGTTGCTGGTTTGAACACCCTACTACAGACAACATTTGGAACTCGATTGCCAGCTGTGATCGGAGGATCTTACACCTTTGTTGCACCAACTATTTCCATAATCTTGGCTGGTCGATACAGTCAAGAACAAGATCCTATAAGAGTATGTGCCGTAAAACACATTTGTTGTTATTGATAAATGTTAGGAAAGTTGAATGCTGAAACATCTACTTTGCTTAATTAGAGCAATTGTCTGTTTGACACACAACCTCTTTATTTCACAACAGAAATTCAAGAGTATAATGCGGGGAATACAAGGAGCTTTAATTGTTGCTTCAACCCTTCAAATTGTCCTCGGCTTCAGTGGTCTTTGGCGTAATGTCACAAGGTGAGTTTATGCTTGATGTTTTGTTGCTTAATAGTTGATACTTATTATTGACCATATTAGAACTTTGCATCATCATAAGCACTCACAGTTCACTAAGATTCTTTTGCGTCAAGGAACACAAGGATATCCTACTCCCCCCCCCCCACAACAAAAAAAAAATAAAAAATGCTAACATTTGGAAACACATAAAATCCTTTTATTTATTTTGCCTCTAGCTCTCGCTTATAGTTCTATGTATACCAGTTTAATCTGAACAGCTGGTTTATATTTTCACTTGGATTTTTAAAGCTGTTGGTGTTCCTCTCCTGTCCCTTGCCATACTTTACGTCTGGTTACATTCTTCCCTGTATATACAGCACCTTGATCTCTTTCTGTTTGACTGCTAGTGCACTGAAGTTGAAGTCATTGTTAAACTTTGATATACTATCTAATACAAAGTACTATCTTAATTAAAGAAGGGATGAATACTAACCTTCACTTCTTACTTTCTAAGATAAATTTGAAGAGCCATTGAAGTACATTGAAGGCTTAATAGTGAACACACATATCGTTATCCAATTTGTAAATAATTTGAACTAGTCCTTCTAATTCTTTTCATTATGAAAAAGAACTCTAGTGGTTTTGTAGTAATCCATTTTCATTATGTAATTCATAGTTCCAGGTGATATAATATTTCAAGTTTGTATGTTCTACCCTTGACTCGTAGCATTGTCATTATGTTACTTGTTCACTTATCTTCTTCGCTGCTTGATCCTGATAAAGGCTTACTTGATTGGAGCTGCTTAAATCTAAATAAAAAGGGTGCCTTATAGAATTAATTTCTTGTTAGTATTCACTTGCTATAGTCTCAACTGTGTTTTTTCTTTCAAAAAGAGCTGCTTGGCTTGAGATGAAAATTAAGGCTGCTCAATATATACATATGGTTTATAATTGTTGCATCAATGTTTCTGTTCAAGAATTATTTGTTTCTTCCTCCCTAAGTTATGTATCAACTAATGTTAATCTACAACCGTCCTTTGGTATCTTGTAGGTTTCTGAGCCCACTATCAGTGGTCCCCTTGATATCTCTGGTTGGCTTTGGACTTTATGAACTTGGTTTTCCTGGGGTAATATTTCAGTGTCCAATCACTTCTTTGTCTTCGTTTTTTCTATAGTAAAGTTGTTTGCATTCCTTCCAGTTGCTTTTATTTTCTGTTTATCATCACTGATGTAGGTGTTTTCCTGCTTCTTCAGGTGGCAAAATGTGTGGAGATTGGCTTGCCAGAGCTTGTGCTTTTGATATTTATTGCAGTGGTAAGATTATTAAGCAGACAAAACTAGCCCCTTTTGGTTGAATTTGGGAGTTGGGAATTAGATATCTTCAATCTTTTTATGTAATCATCATTTGGCTTCAATTAATTAATTCAGCCATGATTAATTTTGCAGTATCTATCACAAGCCACAAAATTTGGGAAGCATGTTTTTGAACGCTTTGCTGTTCTGATCTCTGTGGCTATAGTTTGGCTATATGCACACATTCTTACGGTGGGGGGTGCATATAATCATGCTGCACCAAGGACTCAGATAACATGTCGTACTGACAAATCTGGACTTATAAGTGGTGCTCCATGGTAATATATTTTTTAAAGTTGTTTTTCCAATGTTGTTGTTCGCTTCTTTTCAAATATTATTCTGCGTAAATGTTGCTATGCATGGGGATTGGGGAGAGTTTTAAACCTTGAGCTTGATTAACAAGTTCTTGATTGCAGTTATCTCCTACTCATTTTAAACTTAAACTGTAACTGAGAAGTATAAGTTGTCGTAAGAAATTACGGTAACTGAGAAGTATAAGGTGTTGTAAGAAATTACGGTAACTGAGAAGTATAAGGTGTTGTCTGAATTCTTGAGGTGTTTTTCCACAGAACCATCTAATACTTTCTGATCTGATGTTGCAGGATTAGAGTTCCATATCCCTTTCAATGGGGTGCACCCACATTTGATGCCGGTGAAGCCTTTGCTATGATGTTGACATCATTTGTTGCTCTTGTTGAAGTATGTTTAAGTTATATCTTTTGCTGTAATATGTGGAAACTACTGAAAAATGAATGTTCACTTATCACTAGCAGAGGCGGACCTTTGAAGGGGCGGGCAAGGGCTTGGCCCCCCCTCAAAATTTGGCCCAAATTTGTTTTCATATTTAATGTCAAGTAAAAAGCCCAAAAATTCCTAAAGAAGTTGGTATTAGCGTCCAAGCTCGCTTACGTCATACCAGTATATGACTTATGTTCTCTATTTTAATTATGCACAAATCCCAAAGCAAGTGGAACACACGTGATTTCACTACTTGCTGCAAATTAAACTGCACAAATCAAAATACAATACTACCCTTTTAGAGTTTTAGTATCTCCTTTTGTTATTCTTGTTTTAAATGACACTCTATCAATTATGGATTATTTCTATCCAAATGCCTTGAATTGTTATTTCCTCTTCAATTTTTTGGTTGTGCAAGAATTGAGTCTTAGCTATTGAACTTAGCTATTACTCGTATTTGATTTTTATTTATTAGGGTTTGTTCTCATAACCTAAACTGAGCTGAACTGTTTATGAGAGAAGGAAATTAGGAACCGTAAACTGAACTAAACTAAAATTAAGTTGAACAGAACAAACCCTTAGTTATAAACTCATAATAATTACTCCTATAGTTCCTTTATCCAGCCTTTGAAGTTATATATATATTATTGTGTATAATTTAGGAAAGTTGTGTGTATTTAGGAAACAAGTGTTTGTTTCCTAAGTTTGGTTAAGTCGGCTACCTAGTCTATGTACAATTAGGGTTTTCTTATGGTATTTGTATAATTAATACTCGTAATATTAAGGTAATTTGGCCTTTGTAAAAAAAACTGTCCAGGTTCGCCACTGCTTATCAGGGCCCTGTGAAAAGCATTAATGAAATTTACATCACCAAAATTTTACAGTGTTTAAATCTTAGATGCAGTTAGCCCATCTTGTGTCTAATTTTAAATTGACTTGATTATTTTATAATGTACGAGTGGTTTTATTCCATTTGCAGTCCACTGGTGCCTTCATTGCAGTTTCAAGGTCGGCTAGTGCAACAATGATGCCTCCTTCTGTTCTTAGTCGTGGTGTTGGTTGGCAGGTAGAATACAAGAAATTACCCTTGTCTTCAACTTACATGAAATATTGTTTATTTGAAATCCTTGTTTTTCTTGTAAGTAAGCTTTTTAACTAGATAGCTTATATTTAAACTCTCTCTTCTTGACAGGGAGTTGGCATTTTGTTGTCTGGATTGTTTGGAACCGGGATTGGGTGCTCCGTTTCCGTGTAAGACTAAGACATCTTTTTTTTGTACTTGGTGTGCATATAAATTTTTATAGTATCAATTTTGTTTAGTAAGGAAATTTCTTCTTGGGTGTTTTATGCAGCGAGAATGCCGGCCTCTTAACACTGACACGTGTTGGTAGTAGACGGGTTGTCCAGATATCAGCTGGCTTTATGTTATTCTTCTCCATTCTAGGTGTGTATATCTAAAACTAGTTCTTGTGTTGTGGTAGTATGGCCAATTTAATTTTCTCTTTTGATTTCTTATCGTACATGATATTGCAGGGAAATTTGGAGCTGTGTTTGCTTCAATTCCTTCACCAATAATCGCTGCCTTGTACTGCCTCTTCTTTGCCTATGTTGGTAAGCATATGTGGTTTGACAATATAAAAGCGAAAACTACCATAGAACATTTAATTCACTTACCATGTATATCATATTAACACTATCTTAATTTGATGCAGGTTCTGTTGGTTTGAGCTTCCTTCAGTTCTGCAATCTCAACAGTTTCCGTACGAAGTTCATATTGGGTTTCTCCATTTTCTTGGGTTTGTCAATACCTCAATACTTTAACGAGTTTGAAGCAATTAAGGGTTTTGGGCCTGTCCATACAGGCGCAAGATGGGTAATTCTTGATTTAATATTTTTTTTTATTTGCTCTTTGATCTATTGTGGGCTTGAATTATTCTTAGCCTTACGGGACAAGTGCTCATTTCATGTGTTATTTAAAATGACAGTTTAATGACATGGTGAACGTCCCCTTCTCTTCGGAAGCATTTGTTGCTGGAATTGTAGCATATTTCTTAGACAACACCCTGCACCGGAAAGAAGGCCCGGTGAGGAAGGACAGGGGTAAGCATTGGTGGGATAAGTTCCGGTCTTTCAAGGGAGACACGAGGAGTGAGGAATTCTATTCGCTCCCCTTCAACCTGAACAAGTATTTCCCATCTGTGTGATTTAATCTTCTGGGTATCAAAGAGGTATCACTAAAAAGCATGAGTTTTCCTCGAGTATGATGATGGTCGTGCTCTATAGTAATCATTGTTTGATCAAGTAACTTGCAACACTTGCGATATGCTATAGTTCTCAGTATAAATTAGTTTGTTACTTTTTGTAGGATTCCTTTAGGACAATTATTTGTTTTTTTCTGTGTTGTAAATCCAATGTATTAGTTGTAACAAAGCAAAGCAACAAAGGAAACAAGGCCAATGGTTTATGAGTTTCCAACCCTTGCTCCCGGATATCCTACTAATCCAAGCTACAGAGTCAACTCTGCTTCTGCAGATCTGCTGTTCCAGACTCGTTGCCAAATCATGAATCAGGATTTTTATGAGGGTGTTGTGATGCTCCCCTTGAATTCTTCAAACTCGGCTGAACTGACGGTAAATTTGCAGTCCTGCTCGTTCATCAAATAGGCGTGTCATCTTCAGTGCCATTGTTGAGAATTATATGGGGATGCAAGAGTATATTTGAGCTCATGTGTCATTGGATCTCCCTTGTGGAAGTTATAACTAGTTTTGCTACAAGCTGTTCAGATTCATTCAGGTTGCGAGTAAGATGTATGAAGTACTAGTACTACGTAGTTGTTAAAGTTTCTAGTGTTATGTATTAGTATAAATTTATTTATTTTGGATGTGTAGTAGTCTAGTAGAAACACAAAATAACAATGAGTTCTTCAATTGTTTTATATTGTGTGCCTTGGACAATTGTCAACAAAACATCCAATCAATGTTGAAATAATGTTTCCATTTCATTAATTTGATTTAATAAATAATTTGAGAACATTCAAACAACAGTAAAAAAAATTAAAAAAAAAATGTTATCCCAGTAAGTAGATAACATAGTTTATGTGATACTTGACAAAATAAAGTTAATAGGAGCACTCTATATAAGAACATAGTAGATTAATTAGTTCGTTTAATAATAATTTTAGTCTTTTTCATTGTTTTAGGGAGGGTAATACGATCGCGGATAGACTTGCCAATATGGGAGTCATCCAAGAGGAGAGGGTTATTTATTTCGATGTTCCTCCGATCGAAATAAATAATCTCCTAAGGGAGGATGCTATAGGTGTGTTTTTAATCTTCAATAAAGGGCTCTAAGCCTCTAACCCTCATTTACATCAAAAAAAAAAAAAAAAAAAAACAGAGGAATTAGATAACAAGGAACATTTCTACATTTGATTTGATTCCAAACATTATGAAGAAATCGAATTAGTCACATATAAATATATATTCAAAGTAAGATAAACAGTCGAATTGATAATGATAGGATGAACATTTTTATTCAATCCCACAATCAAAACTTTTACAGAACCAATTGTATTGATTGATCGGATAAACTGAGGGATCTAGAATAGTCAAGAGCCCATTAAAGTTAAAGAGTAGAAAAGAAGAATATTATAGGTAGGTGTTGTGCCTGGCCCATTTCTCCGGCTTCATTATTCATGATTGAGCTGTAATTGATATACACCATATCAATGTAACCTATAACATTGCTGTAGTTCCTTGTCTATGACGTATGGATTACTTACCAAGTACGTGCTCCTGCTGCAAACATCTCAAACTTCACCTTTGTAGACTTCAAAGGGATCGTAGGCTCGCTGCTATGTTACATACAATCCATGTCTTTGCAGGGTTCTCCTTGTGCATGCCATGATAGAAAATGTGGCATCTGGTGCTTAGAACCACGAATCTCTTAAGAACCCAATTCAAGCAACAAATACTTCTGGTGTTTGATGGTGAACAGGTTCCTTAAATTCCGCTTTCTCACTAAGTTCTTTAAAAGCTTCAACAAGATTTTGGAGCCTCGCAACAAATTCAACCAAAAGGGAAGAAAAGGTTGCTAAAGATAAAGCACTTGCACTCTCATAAGTCTTTGACTCATCTTGATTTCGTTCCTTATTTTCATCAACTCTGCTTCTGCAGATCTGCAGCTTCCTGTGGGTTCCATGGTTGTTTTCACCATCAAGGCTTGTATGTAGTGCTTGAAGGTCACTGACTGACTTCACTTCTGGCATTGCACTTTCATAATCTGCTGTCAGGAAATCTGGAGTTTGTCCAGGATTTTGTGGATTTCCAATCTCCCAAAACTCTGAATTAACAAGAAGATATGATTTTTTGTCAATTTTCTTTTGTAATGTTTCTACTGCTTCATCCACTTCGTAAAGTATATCTTCTTCTGGACCTAACTTTTCCATTCTTTTTATTCTGTTTCCCAGTTCACGCAGCACTTTAGCACCTTCATTACCAACTTTCTGAAGCTCACTACGGAAAATCTGTCTTCTTTCAGGAGGCGCCTAATGTACAAAGAGAAAAAGAAACCAATGAAATAACATAATAATGTAGCCACATAAAGAGTGGTTTGCAGGATAGGGAGATAGCGGTAACTTTAAATTTTATTAGTCCTTCAAAAGTTGAATTTTATGCAAAATTCCTATTCTGTTTACCTCTTTATTCGGCTAAGAGGGGTAGGTGTTGGCAGTTAAAATGAAGATCCAAGAATTTACACCTTCACTTTGCCATTGAAATTGAATGCCAAAAGAATGGGTTTGCCTCTTTGCTTTGACTTTGTTTATATTCAAAATGTTTCACAATCCAATGTAAAGTAGCATAGGAGTGAGGAGGGCTAGATAATGCAGCCTCACTCCTGAAGACTACTTGCCTTAGTAGATTATTGAAAAGACATAAGCTGTTTTCCAGCTCAGAATAATGAATAGATACATATAAGCGGGACAGCTGACTCGGCTTCAGTTAAGTAGCTAACCACTCAATTTGCTAATACCAATTCATTCAACTTTCTTGGAAGAACAATCCGACCATAATTGAAGTCAACATATGACAGAGAATTTTTATAAGGACTTTTACACAAGACCCCAAAAAATTGAAGAAAATTTTAAGAAGATGAGTTAGTATACAAACCTGAATCTCAGAAAGTATACAGCCATGCATGGCCATGACCATAAATGCACAATGCCTCAGAGCTCCGCTTACTTTGGTATAGGATTTCCATGGATATGTAAGCATTTTGTAAGGTCCGTGAGGTGGTTCCCAGATAGCAAATCCTACCTACACATTCGGCAAACAAGAAGAGCATTCAGTTACCAAATAAGTGTTAATAGAAGAAGATGCATTGAAAAATAAGCAAAAGACTTGCCAAAGTTTCCTCCTGACTTGCTGAATCTACAGCTGACCTATACCCACTATAAAGTGGATCATCAGAAGCTTGAAATGTAAGAATTTTTGAGGGGACTCGAGTATATTCAACACAGCTCAGATATCCATTCACAACACCTACAGAGTAGCTTAGCACGAGTTATTCAAGAATGACAAACTTGGTGTTGTAACATGAAAGACAAGAGGCAAAGCATACACTTATAATCAATTTTAAAGCTTCTGCATTACTGTCTAAGAAAGTATGCAATCAAAAGACATGAACAAAACATTAACAAACCTTCTAAAGAAACCGCAACATTCATAAAGTTCTTCACCACCAAGTTGTGCAGATCCTCTCCAGCCCATATCGGGTATATGCAGGTGTTTATCAACAACGAAACAGCAGCACCCAGTGCAATAAGTATGAATCTAGTAGCAGCTGTATTGACAAATTCCCTTGTTCTATACCCAGACACCATGATGAAGCAGTATGTCAACAGGAAAACTCTAAATCCATACTCATAAGGCTTCATTGTAGGATAGAGTTTCATATAGGTGGCAATAAATCCTACCATTGTGTAGAACCATAAAAGGAAAATAGCTTAGAATAAATATAAGAGAGAGACTTTAGCTAAAAAGCCACTGTTGCTAGTATTATACCTATAATAAAGATGCTAATGATAATTACAAGTTCTTCCCAATCTCCAGCTAATGTTGACAACATCGCCATGCCCAGAGCAAGTCCTCCAGCCGATAATGTCCCCAAACCACGATTGAATCCTTTGCTAAGGGTTGCTCCTAGAAATGCATCACACAGGTAGGAAAAACAAACATGTCAGCATAACAAAGTAGACAAATATCAAGATGATCTATTTTCATACCAAGGATAAACAATCTAATTGAATGAAAAAAAGCATTTATCATGAATTTATTTTATTTTTTTTTATTATTTTTTTTTTCTTTTTTTTTTTAATAAAATCTCTAGTATACATGTAATCATAAGCTCAAGGGAATCTAATTCATTTATTGGATTACTCTATTATGATAAAATGAAGTCATGAACTAATGAACTTAAATAAAAGAAAACAGCAGGAAAAAAAAAAAGAAAAAGAAAAAAGAAAGAAAGAAAAAAGAAGGAAATGACAACCCAATTGAATGTACAACACTAGCTAATACAATTATACAAATCATGAAATGGCCTCACCAATTTGCGATAATCTAACCCTAAATTCATAATCTACAAGATTAGTAAACATAGCCCGAACAATGTACGATTTATAACCTAACATGTAGCGGAGTAGGCACAACTTTGCATACAAAATACATGAAATGACCTTACCAATTAGCCATTAACTAACCCTAAATTCATAATCTACAAGACAACTGAACATAGCCCGAACAATGCACGATTTCTAACTTAACACACGGTGTAGGCACAACTTTGCATAAGCAAGTTCCCCTTCAATAAAACAGTATCCCCTTTATAACATTTTTTTAAAACCATAGATTCAATGCAAATATTAATGAGGAAGGACAAAACACATACAAAAATTCCCCTTATTCTATAGATTCAAAGGTAAGCCTCAATTGCATAACAGAAATTATTATAGCACCAAAGCAAAGTACTCAAAATAACTTATTCACTGATGCTCAATTTGAAAATGCTATTCCTAAAACAGCAGCAATTTCTACTCATTGCAACAATTTACATGAACAATTAGAAGTTCAATTAGGGTTATCAATAATCATTCAGCAATTAGCCATATAATACAATTACACCAAGGAAACAAAACCCCACAAATTCCAAACAAACAAAGATCATATAACAACCAATTAATGGGAAAAAATTCAACTTTTTGATGATTACATGAACTGAGTTTTGCACAAACAACATAATTAACATCAACAAAAAAAAATTTAAAAAAAACATATATTTAATCACAATCATAATATAACTCCAAATAAAAAAAATCTCAATAATCAACAAAAGTATTCAAGAGATTACCAATACTAAATTCGAAGACGACAACAACAGTAAGAATCGCCCAAACAGAGTAACGCCCAAGATCTTCAAATGGCTTCTTCAGAAAAATAAGAAACGAAAGAAGAGTTAAAGCAAGACCCATTTTCGCAGAAAAAACAACCTTTCTAGGATCCGATTTCCCCATTTGAACAGCTTTTATGGAAAATTCTCGAAACCCATTACACCAATTTACAAATTTATGTTGTAAAGAAACGAAACAATTTGTATGATGTTGTTGTTGTTGGTATTGTTGATGATGTTCATCTAAGAAAGGAAGACCCAATGAAGAAGGGTATTCTTTAGAGAGATTTTTCTTCTCTCTCCTCTCTGCAAAAGAGTATCGGAATGATCCCAGTTTTGCAGTCGACATTGAAGGTGAAGTGAGTGATGAACAGAGTGATGAACACAATAAAAAGAGTGAATGAGAAGATCGCTTAAAAGGGAGAACCGCAATTATACGAGATATCTAGATTCATTCATGTTGCGTGTAATATAATATTCCCTCCCTTCTTTTTCATTGC